TAATAGAGAAATTCCTGAGTTTCTCGAGTAATAACAGTCAAGCATTCCGACTCTGTAATATCGCCCTTCCTCTCAGCACCTCCACTCTACCTTACATTTTACCCGCCTTTACTGTAGCACCTTCACGTCTTTTGTCAGTACTCTCAGTACTCTCGCGAATACGCGCACACTCACCTTCTTCACTTCTCGTCATAATAAAGCCTTTTGAAACAGGTTTGCAAGAGTCTTGACAAAGCATACAAAATATCGTTTTTCTAGCTTAAACATTACGATACATTGAATAATCAATAATGTCGCATTTTCTGAAATCTTTTTGCGTTCTCCTTCCACTTTTTATTTCATAACATTTACTTCCTTATTTGGCGAATGAAATACTTCTGGTCGAAATAAGACTGGTATTGTATACAATGTACGAAATAAAATACGATACATCTCTTCTATACGTTCCGTAGCTCACGACGTAAACGAGATTTACGGCACCACCTTCTCATTCGCGCCAAATATTGAACCGTCTAAAACAATAAAAACAAGATTTATGACGTACGATAAATTAACCATCTCTACGTGGATATCACTACGAAAACTCTTGCTTATACTCTTAGAACATATATGACGGAAATCCACGCTTTATCCTGCCAAAAAGGAAAATATGAAAATATAAAATTCATAAAATTTTTTTTTTCAAATTCTTTTTAATAAGATACTTTATATAATATTTACAAATCTTTTTGAGTCACTTGTTTATTAAATTTATTTATGAATATAATATGCTACACAGTTGTTAACGAATTTTATTCTTATTGAAATATAAACACACATATACATATAAATATACATATAATTTAATTTTTCACATGAAATGATGTAAGAATGCATTTCTCATTTCCATAAGTCCCGAAACACAATAAATGTATAAAGTCATTTATTTTGTCATAAGATACTGGCAATTACATCGATACAATCGAATTGATATTTCATCCGTTATTGTTCCTAAAGATGGACAAAAAATGTGAAACTGAAATATTTAAATATATTCGGTGAATGTTGTGTAATTATTCTACAAGAATTATATTCATTCATTTTAAAGCAATTTGCGCTAATTATTTAAAATGCGTGAATAATTCAAAATGCAAAGAAGACTTCTGCATGTCGCACTTATTAGTTTATTTCACTTTTAAATTATGATATTCATGGAATACTGTACAATCGCATATTTAAAAAGAAATTTTTTTAAATATACAATATTTAAAAATTATATATTTAAAAATTATTTTTAATAACAAATTTTTTATCCAGTAAATGATTAATTATAAATAATTTTTTCTTAACATCAGCAACTTGATTTTTAATTACGAATCTTATAATTTATACATACACACAAATATAAATTATTATAACTTATTACAAACACTTTGCTACAAACAATTATAAATAATTTAATAGCATATATCAAAGTTTTAATATTCTTATTTTGTAAAAATTAACAAACGTTTTGATAAAATAAACTTGAAATATGAATTATTTAGATTTAAGTTATTTTAATCGTCAAAATATTTATATAAATTCAACTAAAGACAATTTAAAAGATTTTTTCATTAATATAATTGTACACTACTTTATATTTGAAAAAGCATCTATTCTTAAGAAGAATTATTTAGAAAACATGAGTATTCTCGTACATAAATGAAAATCAGTAATAACAGAAGTATAATTGAAACAAAATGATAATTTTTCTATTGCCAAATGATTATAGATGATGAAGTATTCTCGTAATTTTCTATTATTCATGAAAGTCATAAATCATAATTACAATCATAATCATAAACATTTATTACTATCATCTACTTTTTCATTATTTTTTTACTATTTTTAATTAAATGCAAAATCCAATTGACTATTCATCAAGCTATTCTCTTTGGATATTGAAATCCTTTGTTCATCTATTCGCGCTGTATTTTATTTCGCAGAAGTCTTCTTTGCATTTTGAACTACTCACGAATTCTTGGAACTGCGTTAGTTGCTCTTTTATGGTGCACTTTACGATCTTTGAGAAGAAATTCAGTTTTAGAAGAAGTCTGAGGCGTACTGGTGATTGTGCGAAGCACTATCCTTTTCCCTTCTGCTCTTTGCTCATCAATAAAGTCGATGCAAACGAAATGATTTACATCGACATAAAATTTCTTGAAGAAGCTGCCTTCATTATGTTTTATATCAAAAGATTTTTCTAGAAAATTTAGGATTGTATATCTGTTGGAAGATAGAAATTATAGTTATAAAATAAATCTTTTACTCATCATTCTTTTGAACATTAATTATAAAAATATAAATGTAACATGAATTAACTTGAAATTAACAACAAGTAAAAAATATTGGTATAGTACAAAATATTGGATTATAAAGTATAAATAAAAATTTATATTAATTATTTTATATTAAATAAAATTATTTAATTTTTATCATACAACATAAAACTACACATAAGAGAGTTTGATTAAAATTGAACAGTCCGAAACTTATTATAAAATCTAACGAGAGCACCTATATTGCATCTACAAGATCGATAAAGAGATGGGAATTATTTTCCCTTTAATCACCGTTCAGATATGAAAATAAAAATGCTGCGGTCGCAGCGACTCTCGAGAGAATTTCTGCCTCGCACACTTTGGCTACTTTTTTCCTCAAGTCGTACGGAAGCGAATCGGAAAGGTGAGAGATATAGTAGCGTGCGCGCGTGCTTTAGAGAGTAAGGTGTCCTTATAAAGAGCGGTTGTAAAGTGCTGAACATCGCTTAAAGGGTCGTCTTCGGGCTGCTATTACTTCGAGAAGAGCACTTTGCACTATTACCAATACACGAAACATGATGATGCCAACGAGAAATAGAGTCGAAAAGTGAAGACACTAACTACGATATCTTTAAGTCGGATCTCTCCTATAGGAACTCCTATAGGACTCCTATAGGAGAGAGTCAATCTCACCTCCAAAGTTCAACAAAAAATGTTCTTCCTTGTTTTATTCGCGGCGATCCGCCTTTTGCGAGGAAACTTATTGAAATGATCCGTACTTTGTCGCACAAACATACTACATTCTTAAAAATACTCCATATAATATTATTTTAATAAAACATATAAGATTTAGCAAATATTTAATTTTAAAAGCACTTTGATACAAACATCTCTTTTGATGAAAAATGAATTTCTGTTTTTTCTTATTAATACTTGCTACTTTTAAAATATAACTTTTAAAATATAAATGCGACTGATATATATTGTTTTTTATTTTAACGTTAAGAATTTGTTTTTCTATATATATATATATATATCTTTCTTT